CCTGAGACCAAGGTCCCAAGAGCCTAAACCAAGTGCAGGCACTAAATAAACAGGGGAGGTCTCAGGGGAGGATACAATTTTTAACCAATCGGGAGAACTGGGGGTGGAACACAGGGCGGGGAAATACAATCTGTAAAACAATGGAGGATCTTAAGTAAAAAAAAAAGTGGGGGTTTTTTAACTGACAGGGAAGTTTCTAGCAGAAGGGGCAGGTTCAGGGAAGGACTGACATCTGAGGAGGGGAGGACCAGGCAAGGTTTTTGGGGAAGAGGGTAGGGACCGGAGGGATTGACAACTTGGCTGGGAATGGCCAGGCAACAAACAGAAGGACTGACAGTTAACCAAACTGAAGAACAATGAGGGACCGAGTCTAAATTTAGAAACCCAAGATACAAAATGGGGAACCCATGCCACTCCAGAAGCAGGGGGAGGAAAATATAGAGGGATTTCCAAACCACAAATTAAACAGTAAAACATGCCAAATAAAGAAAATACACTGCAACAAATGAGGCTGTAAATTGAGGTTTATTCATTTCTTCCATAATTTTAGTTGGTGTGTCTGCAGAATAGCTGTCAAAATACAAGTATCTGACTCCACTAGGAGTCTTTATCTTACTATGACACTAGTATAACTTATTGTGGCCTAAACTATCAGGACTTTTTCCTATTTTATACAAGAATTGTGGTTTTTTTAGTTGTGTTTAGGGACAGATCACATTTTCATTACACCACTGCCATTTCAGATCATATACTTCAACTTCCCATTTACCAGCATGGGCATAACCCTGTAGCTGGGCTCTATTCTCCAAAGAAAGCTGAAGCACCCCACTGCCACAGGGTTTGTGCTCCCTGCAGCCCTAGGATAAGCTCAGTGCAGGCTACAGCTCTCTGGAGCAGGTAAATCCCAATGGCACCTACAATAGAGTGCAGGGAAAAGCATGAAGCACCCCAACTGCAATTCCCCAGCATTTCATGAGAGTACATATGGGGAGCTCCCATGTTGCCATCATATTGCAAAAGTTCCATACTGTTGTCTCCTTATTGCAAAGGTTTCATATATTCTTGGTGTTTTCTCATGGGCAGCTCTTCAGAGCACTCTTTCTTCCTCACAAAGTAGCCAACTGACTCCAGTTCCCTTCTCAACCAGCCAACCCACTCTTTTATAGCACTCTTCTCATTGCTTACAGCTGTGGCCTGTTAAAGTCAGGCCTGTTTCTAAGCTTTGGTGATTGGCCCAGCTGCAGCTCCTTAGGGGTGAGATTACTTTCTGCACTATCTTTATTTTCTTATATTCTATCCCCCCACACTCCCATCTAAGCATCCAGTTACAGTTCTACAGATAAAACTAATCAGTTTCTGACTAAGCTACTCCATTCTCCTCTAATATTTAGCTGCTATTCTGTATTATTTTATTGGCTCCTTGCTGAGGGGTGTGAAATTAGTTATGTGCAGGCTGAGAGAGGGCAGCAATAGAAAAATCCTTAGTAACCTTAATTTTAGCCAGTGGCTAGAGCAGAATGACTTGGGGGACTCTGGTAATGAAGGAATGACATGGGGTAAAAGGCTTAGAAAACTAAAGGGGGAAGTGAACGGCAAAGGTACCCTGATGTGGCACTGTGTTGAAAACAAAATGCAAAAAAAAACCCAGAGGTGGTTTGTTGTGTTTGGGGTGTTTTTTCCTAATTTTTAAGCTTTAGAAAGTACAGTTAGTCGACGGAGAGGCTAGGACAGCAGCGATGTGCCAATCCACAGTATTGCTGTCCTGATTTCGTTATCACTTGTCTCAAAACTCATCTCTCCATACCTCAGTCTTTACATCCTGTTCACAATCTCACCATCCTAGAAAATGTTGAACGGCAGAGGACACACATCCATCTCCACAGTGAGCAGAAAGGTTCATATACACTCATTTGTTTCCTCCAAAGTAACACTTTCATCCAGTCTTTATTAAAATATCAATTGACTAGGAAAAAAATCACTTGTGAAAAGCTGACAATGGCTTTTACTCTTTGGGAAAATTTTAGCAGCCTGTAAGAGAAATAACAGCAAGGTCCCTTCATACAGACACAAACAGGTCATGGAGAGGTCATGGAGAAGAAGAATTTCAATGAGCTGCTTTCATGGTTTGAAAACCTAATTGCCAAAGAGACAGCAGCCACTGTGAGGATGGCTCCCTGCAAGAAACAACACAAGAGAAACAACTGGAAAAGAATAAAGGAAGGGGAAAAATGAGAGGGAAGGAAAGGACAAACACTAAGAATTGGCACTCCCACCCATCAAGCAGGTGAAGGCTGCCAGAATTTTCCATCTGGAGTTCCCCTGCCCCATTGCAAGCCAGCAAGGGCCTGGCTCCAGAGCTGTAACCACATGATTGGGGTGACAAAAATGTCAGTGTGATCCTGACAGGACCAGTTCCCAAGGAGGAGAAGGAAGTTTGACAGCAGGGACAGCTCTCCAATTCCCTGTCTCAGGCTTTACAGGCAGTACCAATCTCATTCAGTGGCTTGATCCTATTAATGAAAACTTCTGTGCATCTGCATTCCCTTAAAGTCACCCTGGTAACTCTGCACCTTCCACCTGCAGTCCTCTCCACACAGCCTTGCCACTCCACCTCCAGAAATATGTATTTTTATGGATGAGTCTGGGTATTTTGGAAAGAGTAGATGATGGAAAGATGACAGCAAGCAGGAGTTGGGAACCCTTCAGATCTGTCCCACTTCCCAGCTACTGCTGTGACCCAAAGCCACCACACTACTGGCCTAGGGGACATGGAAAGCAACAGAAGCTCCTGTAGGGCTTTGGAAGGGACCTTAAAGACTGTCCAGTTCCCACACTCCTCCTCTCTGGAAGGGCAGGGGCACCTTCCACTAAAGCAGGTGTTGGCATATTCTTTTTGACTCTGTCACTTTATCACTAAAATGATGCCAAGGCTGTGGCTACATCTCAAGTGTAAATAGTGCACTTGTATACTACACCAATTTATGGAGTGGGTGTCTGAATGATAGATTAGTAAAATTCCACAGCATGTTTTAGGAATCAAACACAGAGCCTTTATCAAAGAGGTCAGACACATGAAATGTATTATAAATTTGCTCTCACCATAAAAAGCAGATTAAAACATTAATTTTTAGTCTCAGCATGTTTTTGATTCAAGTACATTAACCATCTTTTCTCCTCCGTAGGTTTTCAAAAGAATTACTTGTTTATAACAGGTGTAGGCAAGCTGGTGTTGGAAAGGGAATATGACCCTTTCTTTTATTAAATATCAAAGTCTAGACTTCTCCTGTTGGAAGTACAAGCACTGGATTTATTTATGTCAGAGGAGTGGAACACAAAACTCAGAACACAAGGATTAAAATTCAGCAGTTTCCTTGAGCAGTAATAGCCATCTAACCAGAGCAACACTAGCTAATCCTCCTAGCACTGGTGGCTTTTTCCTAACCCAGGTCATATGCCTGGAGTCACACACTGGAACTGAATTCTGATCACCAGCACAGGGCAAGAGGTTCAGGACAGCTTCCCAGGAGGAAAAGGCTGCACTGCTACTAAATCACTGCCCAAGCCCTCCAGCCCCCTCACCCCTGCTCTCCACAAGCCACATCCTGGGTTTATCTGCTCAACAGCAATTCATTCTACAATGAATGCATATTCTATGTGTAGTGTTACAAAATTTTGCAAAGGAAGAATAAACTTCTCAGGTCTCCCACTTGATTCTTGGAAGCCCATTAAGGAATCAAGCAAGATGCCTATGGGGACTTGGAAATGAAAGAACCAAGTATTCTTTACTTAAGTTGTCCAGATCAGCACACACAACTAATATTTGCTGGAGAATCAAGTGATCTTGGTAGCTCATTGGCACCAAAGATTGTATTTTTCTCTGTAAAAATGTCACGAGCTAATTCTTGGTGCAGAAGGGATTGGTCTCAGGGCAGTTTGCACAGCTCTGTTCCCCAGCAGCTGTGCAGTGTTACCATTTCCAACAGACTTAGCAGCATTGCTATCTAAGGATCGTACCTGGGCTGAATGATCCAGACGTAGATACAACAAATTCTCCTCTGTAAATGTCAACACTCACACCCAGCAAGCTCTGCTTTCCCATTAACACACAGATGGAGGATCAGACCAAAGATCAAACATCAGAGTTACCCATGGCAGGAAATATATTCAGTTTAGATGGAAGCAAAAAAAAATACTGACGCTTTTTTTTTTCTAATTATATCTCTAGTTTTATGCAACATGACTTTAAATTTAAGTCAAGAGAGTAGATGGAGGTTTTGAACGGAGTTCTGATTTAAATCCCCCAAGGAAGATCGAAGGTGATCATTAATAAATCGTGGCTACCTGGATGCACACAGAGGAAACTGCTGGGAGGCTGGGGATGGAGGCTGGACAAATTCACCTAGGAGGGCCTGAGGAGTTTGAGATGATTCAGCTGTCAGAGGTGCTGGGAAGCTGAATTCACTGCTCCCACCCGTAGTGGCCTCTAGCTCCACCAACTTCAGAGTTCAGCCAGCATCTGCCCACTTCTTACTGCAAAGTGCAGATGTGTGTCTCCCCCTCACAACATGCAGGACAAGGATTGGCATTCCTGCTAGCCAGAGTTGGTGTCAGGGCTGCAATTGGAGCTGGTATTGGCTTAGCAAGGAAATAGGGGCATCCTTCTACAGCTGTGCAGGAGAACCCACTGTTCCTGCCCAGTCTCACACCAGCATATCGTGCTGAGTGCCTTTTCCATTTTCGAGCAAATGAGCACTTTTATAGAACACTTGGTAAGTTCTCATTTCATTTTTGCAAACTATTCATTTGTCATTCAGTTCATATCCTCAGTCTGACAGCACTGGCCACCTCCCTAAAGCAAGTTTTGAACTTCAGGTGTGTTTCAGCCCTCCCCCTCTGGTGGGTCTTTCTCCTCTCTAGTGCTCCAAATGACTTCCAGAAGCAGGAAAATGGAGAGGATGCAACAACTTTCAAAGTCACCTTCAGGAGCAAAGAATACAGGGCCCAGAATAAACACACATTTAATATCCTTGCAGCATTGGGGGGCTCAGAGAATACAGAAGGCAGGATCTGGAACAAGAGCTACAGCCCTAGAATTTCATCAGCTGTGGACACACATTTACACTTGCTCAGGCTGTGTATGTCAAACCTTGCATGAACAACATATTTGCTATACAGTGTTAACACAGCAAGTGTCAAACGCCAGTGCATGCCCAGAAGCAGGGGCAAACAGAGCTGGGAATCCAAAAACCACACCATGGTCTGCTAGAGACAAAACAAAACAAAAAACCCAACCCAAAATAGAAAAAAAAGAAAAACAAACAAACAAACAAAAAAAGGCAGCTCATGCTCTTGGCCTTGTTCTTCATGCTTCTTTGGTTCTGTATTTGGAATACAAGCAATACAGAACTCTTATTATAGCCTTCGTATCTCCATTCACAATATCTGTGGATACACAAACCAGAGACAACAAAACCAGATGGGAAGTATTAGCAATCCCCGGAACAGGATGAGACTGCACCTGCCAAAGAGAGTCTCCCACATTTCTCCAATTATAATGTGAACTTGGACAATCGAATTGCAACAGGAAGCAAAATAGGAACTACAGAGGTAGAAACTAATAATTTATTAAATTAACATGAAGAAAAGGGACTTCTGCTGCTGGAAGACAAATAAGGGCAAATAATGCAGAGTAAGAAATTCACTAGCAAAGAGCAGAGTAGATAATTTAATAGGGCTTTATGTCTTGAGGTTTTTATGATTATTCTGTGTCAGGAATCATCATTTTTTTGTTGTGCACTTTTTGTTGTACACTTTTTTGTTGACACTTTATTTTTTTTTTGTTGTAATATTTCCATCATGTTTTGCTGCCATTTGATGCGTTGTCTTTTATTGGATTTTTGATTTTGTTTTGTTTCTGTTGTTTGGGTTTTTTTTTTCATTTATTTTTCAGCTTTTTTCTTTGCTATATAAACCGCTCTTGTATTTAAAAATTGCAGTGGAAGAGAGTAATGGATTCAGAGGGGTTTCTGTTCTTCTTATGGTACTGTAAATCACTGGGAGAAAGACTAACAAAGAAACACCAGTAAAATTAGATCCTTGAAGAGTCTATATAGCATAGCTCTAGCAATGACTCCTAAATAATATTAAATTCACTCACTAGCTGAGGATTTCCCCAGTGAAGGTAAAGGACTTGAGAATGATGGCACCAGTATTTCTTATAGTGATCAGCTCTGTGTTTGAGACTGTGCAGAACAGCCAGAAGGGAGGAAGAAAAGAACAGATTTATTTCTTTTTACACAAAAGGTGGATCTCGGCATGGAGACCTGAGCCGACACACGTTATACTCTGTTACTCTGTTAATGTTAACATAAATAAAAGATCTTTAGCTTTCCAGGCTCCCAGCTCTGTGCAGCACAGCAAAAAGCCCACAGTTTGTGAATGCGCGGCATGCAAAATGCTGACATCACCAAAGCAGTAGTGGGAAGAGAGAACAAAAGGGAAAACAAAGGAAGCCCTAAATCCTCTCTTTCCCTCTCCATGTTACCATGTATTATGTACCCAACACATGTACCCAACCCACACATAAATAAGTAACAGGGATCTAGAACTGGAATAATACTTTTAGTTTTTAATAAAGATTTTACTTCCTTTTTCAGCAACAAGTTTGTACAGGAATGCAGGGATTATGTGCCCTGCAAGAGGTCAGACTTTGCAACCACAGCACCACCCATTAATTAGCCACATCCCTCCTCCCATCAAGAGCTGTCACCAAATTTTTCTGTGGAGTATTTTAATTGGAAAACTGGACTCATCCAAATGGAGCTTGTTTGTTTGCTTTTGTGGTGGAGAAAGAAAGAGGAGCATGCATGTACATTGATTCAGTGATGGAAGCATTCCCTTGAATGAAGGAGATCAAGATTCAGCTCCCAAGTCTGAACCAAGCATAACAGCCACTAAAAATATTTCATATTTTTATATGAGAAATATAAACTTTCATATTCAAGAGACTGACCCACCACTCTTCTGAGTTTGAATAGAGTGATCAGTGTTTCTGATTACCCAGAGAAATTATTCAAGGTATCTTCCCACAGAAACAAGCTTGCTTTTAATGCACTGAAAGTTTTTATGAGAAAGGAAAATAGCTTTGCCTCCAGCTCAGCTGCTGTAATTTCCCTGTCACTGGTTTAAATTTTAACAAATTCTGAATTACTAAACAGTTTAAGTTTTGTGTAAAGTTACTAAACTTATAATAATTCAACTTTTTTAGTACAGAAATAATGATTTTTCAAAAACAAGGTCTTATATCTCTACAGTTCATTCTGCATGAGAAGCTGTAGGGCAGCCATATAATGAAATGTGCCAGTGTCATTTCCAGAACCTGCTTGCTGCAATTACTCAAACTTTTGCTAAGCTGGACTGTTAGCAATTCTATTCCAGGTAAGTTTGCGTGTTATGACTCACCTTCAGAATTCACAGGAAAATTCAGAAGGCCTCCCTCTGCTAGCAACTCCAGTGCCAGGTTAACATTGTGCAGCTGTTGGAGAGAGACAGATATTAATATAGCTGAAAATATTTTCTAATCAACAGAAGATTTTAAAAAGTATTTCTCTAGTAGCTGAAGATGTTGATTCATAAATATGTACTCATATTCCTCTCCTTAGTTTTGATGAAGTGCTCTTCAGAATTTTTACTAATTATCATATAAAACTAGATGTAAAATCCGTCTCCAGCAAAACATATCCCATGAGGTGGGCAGAAGAATCCGTTTATTTAAAAATAGACCTTGCATGTGAAAGACTTGTGTTAATCGGGAAAACAGGCTAGATTCCTAACTGGATCTAATGGATGCATGGAGTCTATTTCTGGGTATTTTTAAACAATGCCCATATGCTTACCACACTTGGAACAAATGAAAAGGGAAAAGTTCTCTATATTTCCTTCAGAATTTCAAAAATCAGGTATAATTGTTAGGTAGAAGTTTCTGCTGTACTTCTAAAGTGTCTATTTACATTAATAGTAGTGATGATATCCTTAATAACACTCATGAGGAATGAAGCCCACGTCTATGAATGAAGACAGAGGTTTTTTTCTCATTTTTCCTCACTGCTTTTTCTGTCCCTTCCCCACATAAAAGCAGCATCACACACATAAGCAGTAGTTGTAATCGATTTTTTTAAAGTAATATCCCCTTCTAACAGCTTAAGGGTACTTGTTTACTTGGCTGGTAATTAGCAAATTCCCTTCCTCTAAAGGAGTAACAAGACCTGAATGAACTTCAGATTTTCTCTTCCTGCCTTCCCTGAGCTACTGGGCAATTTATCCTTTGGGAGGCTGTTGTTCCCTGTTATGTTTTGACAATAAGCACAGGAGTCCCTCCCTGCATAAGCCAAGCAAAACCCCTGTGCTCTGAAGTGAAGCAACAGATCTGTGTTTCACCTGGTTTTCTGGTTTGCAAGTAACTGAGGCTGCCTGTTCGGATTCAGGTTTGTTTTCTTCCTTTGATAGTCAGCAGACAGGAGAGTTTAAGACCATGCAGTTCTACACACTTTGCTGATTGGAATGAATAAATCGTTTCCTCAGTGAACCAGTGCAGGCAAAAAGAGCACATTTCCCTCTCTCTAATACATCAGGGATTTTCAAGGAATGGCAACATGTGCATTTCAAAAAGCATCTTCAGACAGAAATACTAATAATTACCCAAGGAAGGGAAGCCTTGAAAATAAGGTGCTTTGTCCAGCTGTGCATTCTGACTCAAAAAAGCTGGACACTTTTCTAGAGTCTACAACTGGACAGCAGCCAGGACATCTGGGGTGTTTCAGCTCTGGGCCTGTTTTGGCAAAAGAACCAAATTCACACAGTTTTGACAAGCACACGAGCCCTCCATCATCATCATCATCTTCATCTCATGACTGCACAGATATCGCCCCTATTTTCAGCCTGAACTATTTTGTGATCATATTCTTTGTCTCAGAAAACATACACCTTTCTACATTCAGGAGCACCCAGAGCTGCACTTTACAGTTACTTGTAATTGCCTTTTATTTTTTTAGCAATAAACACCTCAAAAAACCCTGCAGCAAACTTGCCTACATGCAGTGTTAGATTCTTGCACTTCAAAATTGATCACCTCCTAAATTTCTGTCATGAAATTGTTTTCATTAGAAGGAACCATAAGGTGGATGCACCACACTGATCCCAACAGTGCATGTGGTTGTCACTCTTCCAAGAACAAATGAGATTTTTAAATCTCAGTAGAGGCTACATCTTTACACTTTACTGCACCAATTAATGTCTAAAATAACAGGGAGTTAGAAAGCACAGGGGAATTGAAAGACATGTTTTATGTACAAATGACAGCTGAACTATGGTTGATCGATATTTTTAGTTGTCATGTTGCTTTTCATTTTGTAATGAGCATCACAGGAGAAACAAATTGGAAATATCACTTTGGCAAACTGTTCAACAGCAAGTCCAGTCCTTGGGAGTTACTTTGCTAAAATGAAATTACTACATTTTGTAAATGTAGTACATTTTATGTAAAGAATTATACTGAAGCAGTACTCAACCCCTTTCTACTCTTCTCTGATGCCTGTGATGGGCAGGGTGAGAACTAGAAAGTCTGAGCTTTGATTTGTAGCAGAATTTTAGAGTTATCTCATTTCTAGAAAGACATCTGTGAGGCTAGAATAAGGCTGAACCAAAAGGAAAATGGTTATTTATGAGTTTTTAAATAAGAAAATGTTCAGTGGCTTCCTCTGAATAAAGCTAATGGAAATGTTTAAAATTTCTGTTCAACTCAATGGGAACAGACCAAACAATTTTGAAAACTGAGTGGAAGAGAAAGGGAAGAAAAATTACTCTAAGGAAATGCTTTGATTATGTCAGATTAGATGCTTCAAAATAGATGTTCTTGGACTAAAAAAAAAAAAAAAAAAAAAAAAAAAAAAAAAAAACCACCAAAATAACCAAAAAAAACCAACACATTTTCATTTTTTTCCTAATACTTTAAACAGTTACCAACTGACAGCAATGAAAACTTTTGCCAACATTTGAACCGAGGTGTCAAACAATTGTGCTTTTAAACTTTCTGATTAAAAGCTCCATGGGAATATTTATTTGTTAATATAGGACCTCTGAGAATTTTCATAGCAAATAAATATTGCCCAGGGGCATTAACTCTGTCAAGGTTGGGAAAAAGATGAAAGCTTCATCTGTGAGGGAAAGCCGTAATGCAAACTGTGCCAGAGGAGAGATTTTCTTCTCTGGCAGCTCTTAAGCAAAAAAGATGTGACACATTTCACTTCCAAAGATTTGAGCACAAAACAGGAAAAATAGCTAGAGTTTCAAGATTTTCAGAGCTACTCAGAGACCCAAATGAATAAAAGCCTACTCGCACCAGAGACAATCTGAAAATACCTCAAATATCTCAAAATATATCAACATTCCAGACCTGTGGAGGAGGCAGCCCAGCACACGCTTCCTTCTGGCTGGTGACAGGTTTTACTTTTAAAGCACAGATGAAATCTGCCTGGTAGAGGTGGGAAAAGGTGCAAGCAGGTCTGGCTGAGTATGTTACAGCCCCCAGCCTTGGGGGAGGAAAGGAAGAGCTACCCAAACACAGAAGGGGCCTTCAAAATGTTCTGGCCATGTCTTGATTAAGGTATATTTTTAGGGCAGCATAAAGGAACTCACAGGGATCCAGTTCTGCTATGCAAGTCGTGTCATCCTCTTCAAATCCTGTTTGCAGGACAGACTGGTAGAAGAGAACACACCCATTTCACAGCACAGAGTCCTGGAATTCACCAGAAGGCTGCAGAAGCATGGCCAATGCCAAACAAATGCAAGTAACAGGTGTCTGCCTCCCATGAGATGCGTATTTTGAAGAGGACACCAACCTGTTCTGAGATATTCTGACAGCACTGAGTGCCTGTGTTGGCAATGCCCCAAAACCCCCTCCTGCAAACACTTTGGGCATGGGACTTCACACACAGCAGCAGCAGTGCAAGCAAGAGGCAGCACACACAGTTTTATGGCTCAAGCTCTGAATAATTACAGAAAAACCTACCATTTCCATGGTGCTGGCCGGAGTCAGGAAGAAATTCCTTAAATTCAGAAAGTAGCCCTCTAGTTGTCCAATTAGGAGAAGTAAGATAACCCCATCTGAAAACTAGATAAGAATTACCTGAAAATTATTTGGCTTTAGTAAGCTATTGCAGTAAAAGCCATTCTAGCAATAAAAAATTTTAAATGTTACTCAGGCAAGCAGACAGTCTAATGACCCAGCTCCCTCAACCTCTTCCACAGTGAACTTCATATTTAGTTAGATAAGGCTCCCAAATTCATATTTGTAGAAATACAACGTTGTAAAAGGACAGATATTAAAATAAACTATTCCAGATAGGAAAACACTTCAGATGAGCACAAATGCATAACTATAAATAATAGAAAATTGTGCCTAGTTATGTATGACAAAACACTTGAAAACCTTCTTTTCTTACAGTTGCCCACTGGAAAAATCCAGAAGAGCACTCCGTTCACCAGAGTCCAGGGTGCTCAGCCCAAATTCTCTTGCAATTTCATACACTAAAGAAACTCTAAAGGATGAGACTTTGAAATGTGATGAAAATAAGGCCTTCATACCATGAAGCAAATGCATCATTAACAATCACTAAATACAGCAATTCACTTGATTTTCGTTTTAATGTTCAGGAGACCTTTATTTCCATCCTGACAAAGAGAGCACCATTAAGAGCTGGGCAGACTCTGAAAATCACTCCCTGTAGCATTACAAGGGCAGCATTCAATACAAAGGCTGTATTTTTTCATTAATTATTAGCTTCAGAAACTTCAGAGACCAAAGCTTGATAGCTTAACCTAAACCTGGAAATCATTATGTTGCCAAATTTCAAATTTACTGTAATAAAAAGGAGAATTCCTAATGGTGAGAGGAAACACCCAAATGGCTGACAAAACATGGGTACCGTGCAGCTTGGAGCATGCTACCTGAGATTCGATGTCTTTCACATTTAATCCTAATTTTCCAACATGCTGGTCAACAAATTGCAGAAGTGCCTAAAGAAAGAAAAGAAAAGGAAGAAAGGAAAAAATAACTTTTTCAGTATTTAAGCTCAGCCTAACAGATTTTGATGTCTACTAAAAAAGTAAATTACCTTTTTTACAGCATGGCATTTATCTGGAGAACAGCTAAATAATTCATCAAAGGCATCATCTTCTGTATCAAAACAACATTAATTGGTTTCATTTTTAATAACTGAGAGATCAGAGCTTTAGTGTGGCTACAGAAGGAGAAAGGTATTTGCACCTTACAATCTAAGGAAGAAAATAGTAGCAGGGAGGCAGAGAAAGATGCTGCTTTTAGATTTATCGGAGGACAGGATGACAGGCTTCCCTTCAGCCTGACCACATCAGAGAAAACAATTTACTTCATTCAGCTCTGTAATTTTCACTTGCAGAGATTCTCAGTTTGTGCTGCCACCAGTCTGAGCACTGGCTAAATTTCACATTACTACAGTTTATTTCTTTTCATTTAGGTTTTTTTTTTACTCTGAACTTCTGGGATAAAACGCAGGGAGCAGAAGAACTGTGTGTTTTACTGCTCTCCTCAAATAGAAATGTCAGTTACACCAAATTTGCAGAAAAAAGCAGCCTCCTTCCTTCAAAAAACCACAAGTAAGATATGGAGACTCTGCCCTTCCTCTGAAAACTGAGACACCTCAAAAGTGGCCAGTGCTGCCACCCAGTTTAAAGTGGGCAAGAATCTGGTGCCAGCAGAGCTGTGTCAGAGAACTAGCAGGACTCTAAAACTTCCAAGGAAATTAGATCCAAGTTCCACCCTCACCTCCCCTTTCTGCCCTGGTGCAGCAAAAGCAGGATCCATCTCTTCACCCAGCCACAACCCAGCTGTGGCTCAAGCACGAGCAAAATATTTGAAACACCCCGAGCGAGGAGAGGCATTCTGGCAGCTCAGTTAAATGGAGAATCAGCTTCTACAGCACAGGAAAGCAGAGGCAGCTTTGCTTAAGGGAAATTCCTCCCAAAAGACAGCGACAGAGAAGCCTTCTTTGTGAAACGGAATCCTCAGGTTTCTCTGTTCTGCCTGTTGGGGGTTGCTGCGGGAGCAATGTCAGGGAATAGGTGAATCCGTGAAACGAATCAGAGAGAGCCCTCTTCTGGAGCCACACTTTGGGATTTCTCTCTTTGCTAAGAAAGCTGTGTCAAAAATAGAGAGAGAACATCTTGAAGAATGAATTACAGATTTCTCTTCCCAGCAAAATCAGCCCACTACAAGAAACACCTACTTATGGGTTGGGGGTTTTTTCCTTCCTTCTTTTTTTTTTTTTTTTTTTTTTTTTTTTTTTTTTTTTTGGTGGGGGTGGGGGTGTTGGTTTGTTTGTTTGGGGTTTTTTTGCTTGGGGTAGGGGGTGAAAGTTGAAGGTTTTTTTCACTATTTCAGCTCCCACTATAGAACACTCAGTGGAATAAGTAAGATATTAAGTTATATCATTTGCACCTCTGTAAAGGATGAAAATGCCAAAATAAAGGACACAGCAGAGAATTCAAACAGTTGCCTTGGTTCTCTGGGGGTGCAGTGTGCTCCTTTGCAGCAGGGAAGAGCAGCTCACACTGAAGCCAGAGCAATTCCCAGACCTTCTCCAGGCTTTGCCCACGGGGACACTTTTCACCTCAAGTATTTGCCAGCCCTCAAAAGCCCTATGGGTGAAAGCTCTGGGGATGTTTGACTGAGCTGCCATCCACGACCCAGTACCAGTGGATTTCAAAATCTCATTTGCAAACTGTGGGAGGGAAAGTACAAAAACCGGTAGCAACAAGAACATAGTTCTGAAGCCTTTATAAATAGTTCCAACAGTGAATATGGTCCATGCACAAATCCAAGCTGGCATTTTGCCTCCAGACAGGTTTCTTTTTTGGGTCATCAAGCCACCTTCATGCCATGTCTCCTCTCCCACCTGTTGCCTGTAGCCCACAGGCAAAGTGACCACCCATTTACCAAGCTGTATTCTGTTGGTATGAACAACATTAACAAGACATTTGGAGAAAAACACCAGGAAAAAATCCATGAATCTCCATTAACTTTAGTGGGATCATACTGATTTTATCATGGGGTAAAAATGGATCAGGACATGGTGTATAAAAGCACATAATGAAACATTGAACTTGGCAATGCCAGCACTTACTTGACTGCGCTTCTATATTCTCTCTGGAAGTGCAATAAAAAGCAAGAATTAGAAAAATGATTCAGCAGAGCTGATCTTATTCATAAGCTTTGCTTATCTGCTATCCTGTAAAGCAGGAGATAGAGGTCAAAGTGGCATCAACTTTAGGTCAGAGTGACTTTCCAAAAGGCATTTTAAAGTAGATTGTATATCTGTGTAGGGTCCTGGAAACATATGAGATTTTAACTGGCCCACATACCAATGAACATTTATTTTACAAGCACAATCCTCAATATTCTATTCCAATAAGCTGCTCATGATATTAGAGCTTGAAGAATGTTTTGGCATATAAAAATGATAGTAGGAAAAACCGTTTCTAGTTCTTAGAATGATGTGCGTGGTTTTTTGGTATATAAATGGTATCCCACTAAACTGCTTTAATAATGGCAGTAGCTCACACACTCAGCAAGCTAAAACATTTCTTTCACAGTAAAATAAGAAAAGAACTGCCTCTTTCTCTTTATTTAAAAACAAAACAGCAGCAAATTTAAAGTAGTTTTAAATCTTTGTGGCTTCAGAAAATTTCCAGTTTAGTTTCACACAGGTAAATTTACAGTACTGGAATTTTATTACTGTATTTGCTATGAAATTCCATGGCAATAACAAATGCTAAGCTTAAGGAATAATCATGCGTATTGTTTTATATATAGAATAAATAAAGGTATTGCACTATAATACCAAACTGGAAGAGGGGAATAAAAAAAAAAGGGAAGAAATCAGAGAAACAACTCACATGCATATACATGCCTGGGCTTACATCTTGTTCATCATCACAATCCCAGCTAATTTTTGTGAGGGGGAACACACCCACAATGTTTCTTTTCTGACTGACAGTGTAAAAACCAGATATATCCCCTCTTACTTGTTTTCTGTGATATATTCCACCACATTTGATGTCTTTAATTCTCTGGAGGTAGTCTGTTGAAAGGACAATAAACAATGTTGGGTTTGTCACAAAAAGACAAGCTTTCATGACCTGTTTGCTGCCTTAAATTATTATCAGAGGGAATTTGTTCAATAACACCAGTACAATTAGTACAGGTACTTTGAGAGATTTCTGCTTCCTTCTGCTCTCTTCAGTTTCAAACAGGAAATCTCTTACTTCCCCATCAGAAGAAGTCCTTGGTGTTTGCTTCTCTTCCCTTTCATGCAGTGAAAAACATTCTGTGTTTACATACACTGGTGGTGCTAATTTTTGCAATTATAAATTGTAAATAAACACAAAATAAATAAATATTATAAAATAAATAAAATATAATCATAAAATAAATAAATATATAATAAATAAATCTTCTCCTACAGTCTCAGAATTGATTTTAAGAAACAAAATAGAGGAAGAAAACATGCAGATATTCTTGTAGAGAAAAATACAAAAATGTGACCCTTACAGAAGGGGAGTAAAAACTCCCATCGCCTAAAGAAAGAAATATCTTCATTAAAAAAACTTCATCATTTATGAATACAATCTTCTATGTTACAATATTTAGAGACAGTAACAGCAGAATTTCTTCATTTTCTTCTTTACAGAGATCAACAACATCTGCTTTCAGTTTGGACCATTCCCGTGTTTGGCTGAGGAAGAAAAACAGCATAGTGCTTTTCCCCTTTTAAAGACAGAGTGTCCAAACTGAATACTCAATCTAATCCAACAAACTCAGAAACTGAAAAGTGTGGTTCACAGAAAATACCACTGTCTCTTTCCCAGCTGAACACACATTTGTCTTTCTAAGCAGGTTAGCCTTGTGAAAGGACTTTAGGATCTACTGTAACAAATACTGAAACTACAAATACCTCGATGGTGATTGTCTCCACTTGAACATTTGGAGGCAGAGCCAGGGTGGGTTCAAAGTGCTTTGCTATTGCAACCAGAAGATGCAATGTGCTCAGTAAGTCCTTTGCCAAGATAGCTATAAAGGAAGAAAACAATGCTCAGTGTGCAAAACATGTGAATTTCCCTTTAATATCATGAATTCTCCCTGCGCGGAGAACTCCATAGTCATAGAGGGCCATAACGCTGGTGGAACACCAGATTGGGGTTTGTATAATATCAAAATTTAGCAATAGCACAGCTTAAAAGAGCGACATACAGGGATGTTGAGAGCTCTTAAGTGATCCACAAGCCACACACTTAGAGGAGGCAGACCCAGGTGGGCTCAGATATTTCTGTCTCACTTTTGATTCAACTAGTAATTGAAAACAGGTTGTTTAATTACTGTTCTGGCAGCACATTGCCTCACAGCAGCTGTATAGCACAAGAAGCCTGTGATGGATAATTTTCTTCGATTTCACTTCTGCACCTACATTCCACACTCCATTTCAGCTGACTTTCTTCCAGTTGCAAACACTTGGCCACAACTTCCAGAATCACAGAGAGTTTCTGTCGCTGTTTTTCTTCTGTTAATGCAATCTTCTCAACATCCAGCTTGAGAGATCCTAAGTTTTCTTTTACAGAGGTTCCATGGGAAGAAGGATGTATTTTAACATCATTGTAGGGAAAAAGAAAATAATTAGAAACATAAAATGACAGCAGAGCACACAAAGTCTTGTTTTAAATGTTCAGTGTCATTTAAGAGCTCTGCAAAAGGGAGAGGACTCAACTCACTCCTTGTACTGTTATCCCCCAGCCCTAGCTCTTTTAATTTCTTCTACAGAAATCCAAGGGGTGAATCTTTACTGTAGATAATGCACAAAGTTGATATCACCTCATATATAGAAGAACTCCGAATTCATTGCTCAGGCAAGTAAACTATGAAAAATCAGCCAGTCCTGCTCACACTGCTGCTCTCAGCCTTCATGGAAAGGAAATACATGTAAAAGATGTCCCCAAGGAGAGTGAAAAGGGAAAGAAAAATGTATTAGGGACAGGAGAGATGGAGAAATATAAATAGGTAACAGGCTGCTCCAGGGGGTCATATCTTTATACAAGCACCACATAAAGCCAAAAGCCTCTTAGATTTTTACCAGTTCCAGAACCAAAACAGTTCTTTGGACCCAGAGCTTTTAAATATTTCTTTTCTTTTTTCTTTTTCTTTTTTTTTTTAAGGCCAAAAAACATATACTACAGTGCTGATTCCATCCAACGTTTCTGATAGCACCACAAGCCACCTTTGTGTTCCTGGTTTATGTTCCTCCTTCATTTCAGAAGCATGGAATTTCACACTTCATAGTTAACCTTTTTATTATGTCAACTAGCAGGTATTAAGAATTTCTTAGAAGTAAAATAACCATGCAAAACAATAGTGGGAATTTATTCAGAATTGTGATTATCACAGCTGGCCCCCAGTGCAGTGAGAAGAGATGACAGGTCCCTGCTACTGCGATTCCTGAGGTTTATTGATTAGAATGTCCCTCCATGAGATGTCTGCAAGAACTAAACTCAAAGGAGCAGCTCACCCAGGAGATGATGAAGTACCAGCCCATCATACAGGTCTTCCTCCAGACTTTTAACTACTATGTGTTCCTCTTTCAGAACTCTGTTGATCCACTCAGTCAAGAACTGCAGGGGAAAACAAAGCAATTAGAACCCTGCTGTTCAGGCAGCACAGCACTCACTCAGTGCTATATACTGTTTCACCTCTCTCTTCAGTCCCTTATCTCAGATCTTGGTTTGCTTTCAATCTCCACTTCCTTTGTGCTTTTTGCTTGTTTTCTAAAGGGTTAATTTTTCCTAATTATCAAGTGAGACAGACATCTTGCTACTTATATTCCGAGGAATTATGTTATACATCTCGGGCCCTCCTCCCACTTCCACCAGAGAAAAGGCTGCACAGTGCACTTCCTATCCCCTGTCTTCATCCCACACCACAGAATTCACACAAATTCAACTGCCAGGCAGAAGTCTGTAAGAAAAGAGGCTTGGCTCATTCTGTGGGTAGTTTCTTGTACTCGTCCACACTATTAGCACTCCTCCCTCTCATCTTCTGGTTTTGTTTTCTTTTTCTTTCTGCAATATTTCTGCACTCAATCCCCAAATACCTCCTTGGAACTTCCTTATGTGGCAGTCCTCCCACTGGCCTTCCAATATCCCTTCTGCCTTTGCAAAGGGGAAGCTGCTCAGGAAGCCAAGGTCTGGCTACAAAAGGAGAGGAACCACATGTGCTCCTAGATGGAAGAACAAAGCAGCTCCTCAGTGCTTCTCCAAGCATGTGTTTTATTCACATGTGTTGAGGGAAAGGGAATATGACCTGGTGAAGCTGAACAGAAAAGCAGTACCACCAGCTGGCTGCCAACATGAAGATCCCTCTTGTAAGAGGGAAGGGTAGTGCTTTTATTGCTGTGATTATTATGAGTGAGTGTCAATCCTTCTCACTTGCTGTAAACAGAGGAGAAAATTCGTCCCAGGTTCCTGTAAGCTTGCCAACATTAACAAAAATGTAAGAAGGGTTTGAAAAGAAAAGTCTCTGAGAAGCTTGAAACTGCACAAGAAATAAAAAAGCCTGAACTGGGAAGCTGTCAAACTGTAAAATGCACCTCAGCTAAGTAACAAGAGCAGAAAGCTGTGCTCTGCAGCTGATGCTTGGTGACACTTTGGATGTGCGAGGGGTAGAGCAGAATTCCAAACACAAGAGTCCAGCCAGATGGAAGTCAGAAAAGCAGCAAGCACTGCTGAGCACCCCTATGGCATCCCTCCTTTTCTCTCCCAGCTCAACACATCCTGCATCCCTCCTTTGCTCGCCCAGCTACATGCACAGCCTGCAGCTCACACAGTTCTGCTTTCTGCCCAGTTGTGGGGGCTCCACTCAGCTGCAGAGCAGAGCCTTATGTCTACAAATGAGCAAACAGGGAAAGTAGAAAAGGAATGCTTTGAGAAGCTTGCTGCTGGCTTCTGAGTGTAACCATCTTCTATTTTACATGCAGCTGGATATTTACAGCAACTACAGGGAGCCATTTCATATTTCCCAGTTCTCCAAAGCCACCTCAAAATGAAAATGCAGTGAAAGTCTCTCCCCACAGTGAGTTTCTTTACTTCCTTTGTTCTTCCCTTGAAGATTCCTCCCTGTCCCCGTCTCCATCCCAAATGTTTCTCTAGAGAAGCCATCAAATCTTTAGATTAAGAAGACAATCAAGGGGCACTGATGGGAACCCAGAGGACTTTGTCTCCCTCAGGACACAATTTCCATCTCCTCATCACCGCAAGAAAAGACATTAGACAGTGATGAACATCATTTCAGGAATCTCTGACAGGAAATTAATTAAGCACTGAAGCTCACAGAATTTTCATAACTGAGGAAAACTCTTCATTTTTGGCAATCTCAAAATAACAAATCCAGTCTTTCTGTACACAACATAATTGCATTTCGCAGCATCACTTTTCAGACTTTGGTATAACAATGTCATGAAAACCTGACACAAAATCAAATCTTTTTGATCAAATGTGCATGGATACCTAATATAGAAACACACCTACTTACATGTTTATAAGTGATACAAAATACAAACAACACCACATATCTTAAGCTGCTTTTCAGCACCTCTATAATGCAAGAATTGCTGGTCTCATAAGACACAGGCCACTTTTCTTCCAGGAAGTTTCATTACGTGGACTGTGCCATTAGAGAAATTGAAATAATGATCAAAAACACTGGGGAGACTTTCAAAATTAGATGGAAATAAAGCACTTGCATGTGGAATAGGACTCATCCTTCACAGTTACCATACAAGAGCCTGAAAGCTTTCATCCTGAATTCCTGGTGACTTGCATACTCTTCAGCCCATCCCCCTTCTGCTCTCTGCTAACCTTGACAGCTGAGCCAGCTGCTGGTGAAGGCTTGCTGCAAATCAGTAGAGCACTCCTAAAAGTTACCATGGGATCAGTGCAGCAAACCTGCACTGTATCACTCTTTAGTCACAACAAATGCTGACATGGGTCTGCTTGAGGTTCCAAGATTCCCAAGAATCCCTGGATTCTTGTAGCTGTCACCTTACCATCACAATGAAAGAGCAACTGGGTGCTTCTGGTGTGGCTCGCCCACACAGCCCAGGTTAGGAGAGGTGTCACATCAGAAGCCACTCAGGTTTGTATCTGCATTCCACACCCAGCAGTGCTCACTGCATTGGAAGCTTGATCCTGTATGGTCCCAGCCACCCTGATGCTGTGCTGGAACAAAAGTTTGGCTTCCTTTTTGTGAAGCCCAAATGCCAAAAGCAGAGCTCATTCTCATCTGTAGAGAGTGGGGGACTGGGGTCAGAGGTCTGGGCAATTTACAGGGCTGAAAGAGGTTAAAGAACCTTTGTTTGCTTTAGCACAACTTGAGGTGAGGGTTAAACAATGCAGTAAAAGAAGGGGTACCAGTTTCAATTCTTCCAGTTTGAGGTTTTTGCCTGGGGTCGGTTTTATGAGTTTCCTCTTCTCCCCTGTGGAAGGATGCAAACAAGATCCATCACAGTTATCAGATATGACTAAAGCAAGTGTGCAGCTAAATCTGCTATCAGTTTGATATTCCCAATATGGCTAATTACCTGATATAGAAACATTTATTTTTCATTTTAGCTAATTCCTTATGAGCAAGAAACTGGTATAGCAGACTACTAAACCTGCTGTTGGAAATTATGCTTCAGTGTACTTCAAATGAGTAAAATCTAGATGGACAATTGTAGAAAGAGGAAAACACACTTGGTCGGATCCACATGTGTGAAACTTAAATTTCAGTTAAAGAACTAGCTGGACTTTATGTTGCTTCTTCATGATCTGCCCCCAAAGAGTCAGCAGCCAAGTTACACACAGAGAGCTTACTGATTTCTGATACAGCCATGGGATCATTGCTGAAAAATATACAATTTTCATTTGTACAGCACATTTTCTGTTTGGCCCTTCAGGTGGTCCTTTGGCCTTTTTTCTATCCTGTTCATAAAGCACATACCTTTCACGATGACATCCTCAGCTAGGAATCGATCGAGTGTAGAAGGCTGTGTAAATGAATTTAAAAAGTCTGGATCCATTGTCTTTAATCACTCCTGGTAAACCGGTAAAAAAACATTGGGGAAAAGGGAACATGAGTAAAGGGACATAAAGATGAAAATTAGTGCTAAGAAAACAAACAAACTGAAAGGGGGTTTTTATCAATTACTATTTCATCACTAGCTGCTTTTAAAAAAATCTGAAAATATATTCAATGTGTGCAAAGAAAAAGAAGTTAAAAACAGTTTTCATTTTTTGTGTTAATCATAGAATGTAGGAAAAAAAGACCTGAAGACCTGAACTAAAACTTGTTTTAATCACATCTAATTGTATTTTCCTTGTATTAGATAAGTAAAATCATATTTCAACTGAAGTGAAAAACAAGCTTTCAGTCCCTAAGTATTCATGGATATCTGCTAGAAAATTTAAAAATCACCAGTACTTAAGGAGCATTAAATCAAGAATTCAGTAGTTAAATTACTAAGACAAGTTACTAAATATAAGCAGCTTCTTTTATTGGACCAGCTGGTACAGATTTCAGGAGACAAGGACAGTTATTGGCATCTGAATAGTCTCTTTTACAAATTCTAGTATAGAGTCATAGAATCAATTAAATTGGAAAAAAACCTCTGAGATCATTGAGTCCCAACTCCTCACCCACCACTAAACTGTGTTTCCCAAGTGCCACATCTGCATTGCTTTTGCATCTTTCCAGGGATGCTGACTCCAACACTTCCCTGGGCAGCCCCTTCCAGTGCCTGAGTGCCCTTTCAGTGCAAATTTTTTCCCTCATGTCCAACCTGACCCTCCCCTGGCACAACTTGTCTGCCCCAGCCTGGAGCTGCAGGGGGCTGGTGTGACCCAAGGCAGGACCAGGCCCTTGGCCTTGTGGAATCTCAGACCACTGGCCTGGGCCCATGGATCCAGCCTGTCCGGATCCCTCTGCAGAGCCTTCCTGCCCTCCAGCAGATCCACACTCCCACCCATCTGGGTGCTGTCCATCAACTGACTGGGTGCAGCCTCAATCCCCTTGTCCAGATCATCAGTGAAGACATTAAACAGGACTGGCCCCAGTGCTGAACCCTGGTCACCATCTGGATTCGACTCCATTCCCCACTGCTCTCTGGGCCCAGCCTTCCAGACATGCAAGAAGCAAAATTGTTCTTCATCGTAAACTAAATGCACACTGATTTAAGTGCCAGAAATTAGAACTACAAACTGCAACCGTACTGTGGCCTGCAGAGGTGAAAGAAATTACAGGAGGATGAGGGCTCCGGACACTTAGAGCAGACTATGGTTATAGCACAAGTAAGTGAACTCATCCTTCCCAACAGTCCAAAAATCTCTGGAAGTCAGAACAGAGCAGATGTCATGACCAGACTTTTACTGCTGGGCCACTGTAGGAGAGGGGATGCTGACTGGTTTTGTGCTTTTTCTAACAAAAAATTGCATGCTTCAGAGGGTCCCACAGGAGAATTCTTCCACTCCCTACCCGGGGTGCCCACATTGAGAGCTCTGTTTCTTAACTCCTCCTGTGAAATGAGTGGGAATGGCACTTTTAAAAACAATCCAGAGCATTTAAATGAGTGGCTAATCCTAGTTTTAGGAATGGAGTTCCCTCCATTCTGTTACCAGAGACAGCCCTGCCTGGTGCTGCAGGTGCCTGAAGTGAGGTTCTCCCACCATCCAGAACAAGGTACCTGCTGAAAATGCTGTGGCACAGAACATCTCCAAAGTGACATTCCTCTGCTTGATAGCTTTATACACCAAACAGCACAGTGCTGCTCTGAAGGCTTTCACATATTTCTTACAGGCACCGGTTAGTACGTTATGAACATGTGTTTTAACAGAGATTTTGCCAAAGTTGAGAGAATCTCCATAGAAAATAGTAGTTGGATGCTTTTACACATCAATCTGGTAAAGCAAATTGGTACAAAATTGCCAGCAAGGCACTAGGAGAAAGGGTCACAGGAGAATTAATTTCATTATGGTGGCAGCAAAACTGAATGCTATCTGTAAAAAGGTGCTTGTTTAAAAAAAATAGGAAAAATTGAATGATGTAGTGCCTGAGGAACAACTGAACTGTGTGAGATAAGACTGCCCAGATGAAATTAACTGAGAAGTTAATTAACAGAGAGCAACCCGATGGACAACTTATTTTTAAATTAGGTTTCTGACAGCGGTGATGCCTTGGGGAAGTCCATGTTATAACAGAAATTGTCTGTGTAAACCACAACTTACTCTCACTCAGCTTTGCAATATTCCATTTGTGTATCTTCTACTTCCTTCAACTATCAAAGTGGTGTGTGGTTGCCTGCCACACCCCTGGGCCCTTTTTGGCCAAGGAACCTGAACATCAGAAGCCACTCTAAAATTTGGAAACCTGTAAGGAAAGGCCTGAAATTCAGCATTTGCAATAAGGTAGCATAATACCCTCTAGGACCTGAGTCCTGTGTGTCAGAGTTAAAATTGCTCCCCTGGGTAAGATTAACTTGCCTAGTATCCAGTCCCCCCCTTTCAGTACCTTAGGGAAAAAAAACCAGAACCCCAAAATCTATAAGCAGTGTAAGGATACAGAGACACTTCCCCTTCAGTGTCCCCCTTAACAGTCTGCAGTTCAGCCTTCCTAAAGCAAAGCAGGTCACTAGGAGCTGTCAACACATTTACTCCCCATGAACTCCCTGCTCATCCCTTGAACATGTCTGACTCTCTCAGCCCTCAGCAGCAAGGAGTGCATTGTGGCCCTACATCACCTGAAGCCCCGTCTCCTGTTTCTTGCTCTGACCCACCAGCTGTCCCTGAAGGCAAAGGCCAACTGATCCACAATTTCACACTACTGTGTTAATGCTCCACGTCACTCCTGCCCTACAAACCCAAAGCCTCCTTGTCCATGTCTTTCCAAAACTGAGCTAAGACAGCCGACAGTTGCCCTTCCCTGGAAAACCAGCTGCTCATCCTCAGTGCTCTTTTCTGAGCTTCCTCCAGCATGATCACAGCCTTTTGGAAGTGCTAGGAATGAGACCTGCCCAGATTTAGAAGGGTGCACCGCAGCATTCACAGTGGTCTCTGCTCCTCTCCTCCTAAGTCCTGTTTGCTTTTTTCATCACTGCTGACCCTTTATTGGGAGTTATCTATTAGATCTCCAAGATCTTATTACTACATAGCAACACACCATTGAGAACACATCATTTATTGTATTTCAGCTCACATTTATCAGTATTGATTTCCCACAGGCATTTCAGAGGCTGAGAACTACAGTTCTCCAGCATTTAATAGACCCATTGCTTATTACTCATAATTAGCATCCATGAGCAGCCCTTCATGTGGCTGGGCAGCATATTGGTGAGGCTTGGTCCCAGGCAACAGCCTTTCAGAGAATAACATACTGCAGGAACAACACAAAATGGAACATGTCAGGGCTGGGACACCTCCTTGGGTGAGCTGTTTAATGAAAAACAGGAAAGGTCAGAAGAGTTGGTTCTCACATGCAAATTTCCATATTTGCTGCAACCAGCCCCTGCCACCCATCAGTTAAATTTGCTGCTCAGAGCTGTGGCTGACATGCTGGTTTTCCAGTCCACATCCTCCTGCACAAGTTTTTTTATCAGTACTTGGAATACATTGTAAGAGACAACTGCTTGAATACTGACTGTACAGGCATTTCATTACGACACCTTTAAATAAAATAGCTGCTTAATTATGGGCTATTCAAAGGAAATGGCATTCTCTGAATAAAATGCTAATTCTCTGAGAATGACATGGATATACAGGATTTCCTTTAAACCCAAGGGGTGTTTGATTTCTTCTGTGCCACTGGCAGTGGCTGCCAGGAAGGGAACTGTTCTTAGGTCAGGAGCTAGGCTATTGTACAAACTTGCAATGTCACAACTACTGATAAACAGCTAATTCTCAAGCTGGGTCAGAACTCACTTTTCCTCCATGAGTCTTCACAGGGTCTGGCTCCCAGATATCCCCAAGGCACCACACAAAGCACTAATGGGGGTCTCTGGCTTATAAATTAGCTGTAGAATACTCACAAGGCACTTTTCAATCCTACCAGACTCTTTCACTTGTTTCATTTCCTGTTTGAAAAGACAAAAGCCCTACTCTGCCTAGCTCAAATAAGTAGATCACACAAAGGAGAAGAAAAAAAACCAAATGGGAATGTTAATAGTAATATTTCCACCTTTGGGAAACCAGAATTAAAAAATAAATAAGGGTGAAAAAAGAATGCACATTGTGAACACAGTTTAAAACTTAGTTTCATTTCCCTGTGTAGTACCATTTCAGGAGCCATCTTTGCTCATAAGCATCGGAACAGATGTTATCTTAGTAAGAACAATCCACAGAGAGGCAGAAAATCTTCCAGTTAAGAACACTAATTATGAAAAAAGTGCCCAAAGGAGCCCCATTTTCCAGACTTACTATTTTCTCCTTCAGTAACTCTTCAGAAGCTCTTCCAAGACCTTGTCCCAGCAGTTAGGATGCAATTTCTGGGTGAGAGGGTTGAGCCCAGGCTTGGAGGTCTCCCATGCAGGGCAGCACAAAGCACACAAAGGGGAAGTGCCACAGTGCTCTGCTCTTAAAAACGAAACCATGGTCCCATCCGGAACTTAATTGTGTGTGCTCCCTGCTGCAGAGACTGAAATAATCAGGACCACAAGTGCAGGAAACATGCAGCCCTGCAACTCCTGAAGCACCAGAAAGTATTAAAAAGATATTTTTGTTCTTGGATAGCACTGCCCAACATGACTGGGCTGCTCTGCCTCTGGGATGACTCACAGAGCACTTGTGCTTTGTATATAATAAAAAACTAGACAAGAGCATGTTCCAATACACCTTTTCCTCATGATCCTTTGAGTATTTTATAAAGCAGAACAGCACCACTCTACCTACCCACCAGATGGAGAAACCTAGAAAATTAATTTAATCCTTAGAGAGGAAGTTAGCCACAACAGGCATGTCATGAGACATCAGTTGTCTCCAGCAGGCAGTGCTGCTGCTCTACCTCCCCCTTTCACATCACTGATCAAAGAGGAGGAGCTCCCTACAGAAACCACCTTTCCTGGACATTTCCTGCAGGTGTGAGTTGCATTTATTAACACACCTATTTTCCTCCAAAACCTGATGTAGTGACAAGTGCATGGAGTATCCAGACTTCTGTAGAACAGCAGGAGTCAATCCTGTATGAGTTGCATTTGATTTCATACCTATGTTGCCTAAAGATTTTTTGCTTTTTATACATTTTTCATGTATTTGTAGTTTTGCAGATGACTGTTAATACATGGTTATATAGTTCCTAAAATTTTCCTACCCTTGCTCTTAGGTTTTAGAGTAATAAGCAATCCCTTTTAACATTGCTGAAATTCTGTTGAGTCTTATTCTCAAGAAGAGAGCCTCTAACAAGGACATTTTGTTTTGCAACCAGAATCTGAGGAGACATCACAAGAAAATAGGGCATAGAAGTCCCTGGACCAGCTCCAAGGGCCAGACCCAGGGTGGGTGTTTCTGTAAGTTCTCAAAGCACATCTCATGCACACACCCCCACCACAAACACTTGGCCCTCACAGGAAAATAGCCACTGAAGAACAATTCAAGGATTCAACAGCAATAACAAGTCCTGATAATGCATTTTCCTGCTCCTTCACACAGCCCTGCTGTATTAAGAGAGCCACTCAACATTCTCTGCACACCAGAGCAAAGGGAAGCTCACCATCCATAAGTTCTTCCCACAGATATTTCCATTGAGAAAAAAAAAGCAGAAAACATTTGTTTATTTGAATAAATAGTTCAACTGTCAAAAACCATGCATAAACACTCCTGCTGTAAATTTTAGCAAACATAGCATTGCATTGTAACTTGCTTACAGTACACAACTCTTATCACAAAGATGGATATCTCCAACATATAACAAATCCAGAATTTTATCTGCAAGGCTGGTTTTTAGTAGCTAGAAATCCAGAGTAAACACTGTTAAAAACAGTAGAAGAGACTCTTAAAAAACACATTAATACTGAAAGCGCGGGGGTGTGGGGAAGAGGAGTAAGAAATCCTATAAGGTTTAAATTGATTTTAAAAAAACTGCCACTGTCCATTTTTCATCTTGAAAAACAGAATGCAGCTGAGGACTACATGAGCTTTTTCTTTGGTAATACAGCTCACTGTAGCTGTGTGTCAAGTAAATGCACCTAAATTCAAGTTTGGACTGGAAAAGACAGACATTCATTAAGTACTTACAAATGTGGGAGCTTTTATGCTGCAGAGCATTCAGCATTCCAGATGAACTCAACAGGATTCAGACTGGTACCCATATGTAAAACCCCAGTAACACAGATATACCATGAATAACATTTTTAACACTGACTCAACTTTCTGAGAGGCAAAAAATTATGGTGCATGTGTCATAGAAAGACATGACAAAAGCAGGTTTTAGAGAAGCTTTACCTACATGGCTCCTCCTGGAAATTGGGATGACTGGGATGAAGCCACACTTCAGTTCCATCTGCCCTGCTCACAAATCTGGTTAACAATAAATACAGTGTCTACAGAACAGTGAGCTGGCCAGACAGCCAGGAGCCAAGGATTGAAAAAAGTCTTTTCCCTGTGCAACATCTACCAACAAACAAGACCACAACAGAACAGGCTGTGACTCCTGATCCAGGAAGCAGGCCTGGCTGACAGGGATATTAACAGAAGGAATGCTAAAGGAGACCCATGGTTGTAGCAAGGACACCAGAAACACAGAATTCAACAAAACAGACACTCTTTTATAACTTGTCATAACCTGCTCACCTCTGCTTATGTGCCCTGAAGATGCCAGCTCTATGATCCCAGCTCAGAAACAGCCATTCCCCTTTCCAAAGCCAAATCACCCTCACCCATCTCTTATCTTCTGTTTGCTTTTGATATTAATACTGCTTGCAATTTCAAAAACTATACTCTCTGGAGGTCTTTCCCAACAACTCAGAGAATATAAACAGAGTTGGCACCCCCACATCACCTGAAGGAAGGAGGATGGAATAACAACTCTTTAACAGACTTACTTCCTGCAAATAACCCTGCATTAAACTAAAAGTTCGAGAGACCTCTCAGCTCAATGACCTTCCAGCCTCGTGATACCTTTATTTCTCAGCACAAAAGTTAGACCAATTTCCTTCACCTGCCAGGAGAGCTGTCCACCAGGCCTTGGCACCTGTGCAAGTCTCCTCTGTTGGTGCTGTGGTAGAGTTTAGTGGCCACATCTGAACTGCACATCCTTGTTCCTGGCTCAGTATAAACAGTGAGAGATCAGCTCCTTCCTAAAGCACAGGCATGCAAAGATTCCCCAGAGAGCCTTGCAGAGCAGAGGAGATGTTAATTTTTCATGCAAAAAAGGCACAACTTCCTTCCATCTTTCTTTTTTTTTTTTTAGCAGTGTAAGGGGAGGTGATCCAAGTAAACCAAATACTAGAACTCGTAACCCAAAAATACAATGCAAAGAAGCAGAAGCTCATGTCTCTCCCTCTGAGGTGAAAAGCTGTTTGAGAAGGGAAGGAGAAAATCCCAGCTGTAAAATTATACCATTCAAATAGCATGTCTCCTCTTGAATCTGAGCTCAAAGGCAAATAATGTTTGGTGTAAAATAACTGCTATTTAGGGAAAGAAGACACTGACTTACAACAGGACTCAAGTGAGCCCATGGAGCAGAGCAATTGCACCTGCTCTCCTTCAGGGCACTCTGCCTAGTGTTTCAGACAAAGGAATGGATGCCCATAAAACAAAAGCTGTTGCTGTGATACATAAAAGTAGCAATCAAATCTCTCCTCTGTGTGCTCAAACGAAAAGGGTGATATTGAATGCATATTCCACATATCATTTACTCTGGAAATGCCAATCCCATTTCCTCCACAAAGCTCTTCTCAAAAATCCACTCAGATGTCTCCTGTTCCAGCACATTCCCTGTGTTAGTTTCAAGAAGGACAGGGGAAAATGTACTAATCCAGTCTGTCAGTCTGTGCCTGTGTGACCAGCTCTGGACCAACCTGATTGAAGCTGCCTAACAGATGACAGTGGCCCTAGCAAACTAATTTTCTCCTAGAAAAGAGATTAAATAAAAAAACAGACACCAAAAGATTAGTTGGTCATCCCATTGAAAGACTTATTCTGTGTAAACACTGAATGGAAGTAACACTGAGTAGAAAGAGGTGAACACAAAAACTGAAGCTTTTGCCATTAGCTTCAGATAGTGCCTGTAATTCCCCTCAGCCCAAGCCACCAACAGAACACACAAACCTTTATTTAATAGAAAAGGCTCAGCTTCTAAATAAATTCCAATGGCAATTTTCTATTGTTAACACTCTAAGCCTGAAAAATCATCAAATGCCAGTAGAAACCAAGGAGTATGCAAAACCAAGTCTTCTGCAGAAGCAAAGACTCTTGAGCCATGAGGAAAGTCTCATATTTTCCCTGCTTATTAAAGTAGTTAGCGGTATGTTTCCTTTCTCAAAAGATCATTTGTGGGTTATAGCAAACAACAGATCCATTTGGCAGAAGTGTGAAATACCTACACATTTTCAAGTGACCTAGAGAATACACATGCATTATTTTTAGTGGGATTGTCTTACAAACAGCTACAGAGAGAACACATCAGCTGTAGGAAGAATGCATGAAGTACATAGTATAAGGCACAATGGGAGCATGCAGAGGTCATGTTTATTGTAACTTCTGCCTGGGGAGGTTGAAGGATGAAGAGACCTCAGCAGCTTCCAGGATCACTCAACGTTCTTGTACTTGGTGAAAAGGTTGTACAGAACCCTGAGCGTAGACTTCAGGTCCAAGTTGACAACATCTGTGGAAGAAAAGGAGAAATCCTTTATTTGCATTGTGTTTTCCCTCATTTGTCCTGACAGGAACAGAAGTCCCCACCTCTCTGAGCTGATGGAATTGTGAATAAAAAATAAAATCCACAGAGTTCTGATCTCCCCAAGCCTTTTAAATATACTGCACGATGTGTTTCAAAACAGCTTTACAATCATACAGTCACAGCTAACTTCTCTCTGGGAAGCAGGAAGATAATTCCCTTCCCCAGCTAAAATTGGCTACAGAGAAAGTCTGCTTCTGTCAGAGACCTGGGATAAAGGCTTTGGGAAATACTCCAGATGACTTCCTGGGCAGCAGAAGCAGTGAACAAGCAGTCACACACATCCTGAGGTACTGAACCACATCCACAGCTCTGCAATGATAGGGTCCATAAATTAACAAAGCCTGAATCCTTAGCAGACTCCAAGATTTTTATTATTTAATAACCCTTCTTATCATGCTAGGCCAGGGAACAGGTCTGGAACAGCTCTCAAGAAAAAGCTTTCCTGTTAGCACCTCTCCACCTATACTACAATAAAATACAAAGAATGCAGGGATTCTGGGGGGAGGCACAGCACAGAGAAGGCTGAAGAGGTAGAAAGAAAGTTTAGATATAACATGTCAGAAATGAGTAGGAAGCAGCAAAAAATACACAGTATATATGGAAGCAGAAGTGAGGAAGAACAGATAATTTAAAAATCATCAGAAGTCCTAGAAAGACAGCAAACTGTTAACAGACCAAGCACAATTAACGTGAGGTCCAAGGGACCTGCTTTGAAGACTCATTGCCAGGACCTCTCCACCCTTCCCTCCCACCCCACACTAGATACCACTCTAATCCCCACACTTCATCTGGTATTCTCAAATATTCTTTCTGCCCTTTTTGCCTGCATTATTTTACATATTTCATTTATGATTTTCAGTTCACATTTGCAGAAGAATCTTCTCCTGCCCCAAAGAAAACATCCTAATTGCTGTGAAGTTATGCATCCTGAAAAAAGAAATGTCCTATTGGGAAAACTGAAACACAAAACTCCTATTTTTCCAGGGATCATAGAAAGTTGATACCCAAATTAAAACAAGCCAACTCAAATTAAAACACAGGCATAATGCTGAATGATTTCTTATTTTTCTTTTTTTCTGTCTTTCAGTGGTGGAAATTCCATCTCCATTCCTTCACAATGCAGAACAATGGTTAATAACCACTGCTGCAAAAGTTATATTGTAATTCCAGTTTACCATCTTCCTAACTTTCAGACCTTGTTATCTCTTTAACTGCTGCATTAGACTACAGTGAGCAGTGCATCCTCTCTGTGTGGGCAACTGCAGTGTTCCTTATTGATCATTGTCTAACAGGTATTTCCAGGAATAAACATAATCTCAGCCTCCTGCTTCTTATAAGATAAAACATGCACAGCTATAACTTACCAACAACAACTACTAATAAAATGTTAACTGAAAGTGGCCATACACCCTAAAATTACTTTAAAATATTCCATTAATTTAAAACTCTCACAGTCCATAACAAACTTATTAGAGGATATTAAATTAATCCACTACAATGTAGTTCTGCTGCAATAACTCAGCACCAAGTTCTGCTGCTGGCCCAATCCACTGAAT